TACAATCAGAAAGACTAAAAACCTGGAGACTCACTATGATTTGATTCATATTTCACAATTAACTGGTGATACTCACAGGAAACAGGCGAAAGTATCTTCACTTCCATTTTATCAGGTGTTATGGGTTGAACTGGGTCCCCAAAGAGATATGTTCACGTCCACCTGGAACGTGCAAATGTGACTTTATTTGGAAATACATCAATTTCGGGCCATTAGGGTGGGCCCAAATCTAAAACGACTGGTGTCCTTGTAAGAAGAGGAGAAACACACAGACAGAGACCCTCGGGGGAGGAGGAGGTGAAGACGTTTCTACCGGTCGAGGAGCATCAGGCTTGCTGGCCTCTACCAGGAGTGAAGAGAAAGGCCTGGAACAGATTCTTCCTTAGAGCCTTCAGTGGGAGCCCGGCCCTGCTGACACCTTGCTTTCAGACTTCTGGCATCCAGAACTGTGAGACAATACAGTTTTGTTGTTTTACGCCACCCAGTTTGTGGGACTTTGTTACAGTAGACCTTGAAAATGAACACACCAGGCATCCCCTTAAATGCCTTTCTTAAGAGCCACCTTGTTTTGTCAAAATTCTGCCTTGTAATTTATTCTTAGAGGAGAAATAATACTGAGAAACCACCACTGGTTCAGATGATAATTTTTTTAAGGTGCGGAAAAGCAATAATGAATCTTATAGGAAGCAAATACAGTATTGATAAATACTAAATAATGTTGCTCTGGAACATGGCATTTTTCTATTAAAAATGTTTCTGACTAATAACACCACAGTGTTTTTGTCTTCTTGTCTAGAATGGATGCCATTTTGTTTGTGGCTAAGCTCATTCATAAAAAGGCATTGTTTTCCAAAGATAATATAATACAGTGGTTGGAGAATTCCTGTAATTTTTCTTCTGTGGGCCCCAACCCATGACTGAGCAGTGCTGTTTGGATATTGCTTGGGTGAGGAAAAGAAACACTCAAAAAATCCCCCAGTCACAGGAGTCATGTTTTGCTAGGGGCAGAGACATTCTCACTTGATGAATCACGCTGTGGAACAATCCCCAGCTTTCCGAGACCCGTATTTTCTTTTCAGCTTTTTCCTGAGAGCTCTTTCTAGAAGAGTCTCTCCCTCCAGTCTCTCCACTTAAATGCTCATTGGGTTAAATAACACGAACCCCATGAAATCCCAAACTCTTTTCCCCAGAGAAAGTAAAGAGTGAAACAAAATACAGATTGGAATATGCCTGGAGAAGGAGGGGTGTGATTTTTGATTCCCGCTCTAGAACCCCCCATGCCTGGACCTTGTCACTTCCACCACCTCCAACCTTTATGCCGCCATTTCCTCTTCCCAGTCCCACAGTTTTCTCCCCTGATGAGCCTTCAGTTAGCTCTCATCTGAACGGCTGCAATGGTTCTTCTTTTTTTTAATTGAAGTATAATTGATTTACAATGTTGTATTAGTTTCAGGTGTGCAGCAAAGTGACTCATATATATCACATATACACACATATATATATTTCTTTTTCAGATTCTTTTTCCATGTAGGTTATTGCAAAATATTGAGTACAGTTCCCTGTGCTATACAGTAGATCCTTGTTGGTTATCTATTTTATGTACAGTAGTGTGTGTATGTTACTCCCAAATTTCTAATTTATCCCACACTATCTTTCCCCTTTGTTAACCATAAGTTGGTTTTCTATGTCTGTGAGTCTGTTTTTGTTTTATAAATAAGTTCATTTGTATCCTTTTTCTAGATTCCACATTTAAGTGATATCATATGGTATTTGTCTTTTTCTGTCTGACTTATTTCACTTAGTATGATAATCTCTAGGTCTATCCATGTTGCTGCGAATGGCATTATTTCATTCTTTTTATGGCCGAGTAATATTCCATTCTATATATATACCATATCTTCTTTGACTGGGCTTCCTGGTCACAGCCTTTATTGACACCTGAGTTTGTGACCAGATTAATCGTCCTTAATATAGTTTTTAAAACATCACCTCCATTCTTAAAACTTTGAATTTATATTTATTGGGAGTTTATTATGTGCAGCATTCTGTGCTTTATTGAGACACCACATAGGAAAATGTTTCAATAAACATTTGATGTTTACAATACTTTGCTCTTTTGGATGGGGAGAGGACTTGAGCGTAGAGAATCTAAATTTGGGGTAAAGTAGGGAATGTGAGGAGAGAGCCTTTCTTGAGGCCAGTGGTTCTCAGACTTCGGCAAGCGTCAGAGTCACCTGGAGGGTTTCTTGAAACACAGAGTGCTGGGCCCACCCCCAGAGTTTCTGATTCAGTGGGTCTGGGGTAGGGCCCAAGAATCTGTATTTCTAACAAATCACCCGGGGATGCTGATGGTGGGCATCCAGGACCACACTTTGAGGACCTTGTTCTAACTCATTCACTGTGCCTTAGCTATCGTGTATAAGTTGTTCATTTTCTTCAGGGCAGTGGAGTTTTTTTTAATTAAAAGTGTTTTTTTGGTAAAATATACACAATATAAAATTTACCATCTTTGTTATTTTTAAGTGGGTTCAATAGTACTAAGTACATTCCCACTGTTGTGCCACCATCACCGCCATCCATCACCACCACCCATCTCCAGAACTCTTTTCATCTTGCAAAACTGAAAGTCTGTACCCATTAGACGATAACTCTCCTTTTCCCCCTCTCCCAGCCACAGTCAACAACCGTTTTACTTTCTGTCTTTACGAATTTGACTACATTAGATACCTCATATATGTGGATTGTACAAGTTTTTATCTGTTTGTGACTGGCTTTTTTTACTTAGCAAATGTCTTCAAAATTCATCTATGCTGCATCATGTGTCAGAATTTCCCTCTTTTTTTTTTAAGGCTGAATAATATTCCAGTGTCTCTATATACCGTATTTTGTTTATTCATTCATCTGTCCATGGACACTTGGGTTGCTCCCATCTCTTGGCTATGGTGAAAATGGTGCTATGAACATAAGTGCACGAATATCTCTTTGAGACCCTGCTTTCAATTCTTTTTTGTGTATACCCAGTAGTGGAATTGCTGGAGCGGTGGAGTTTCTTTTAAAGTGCCTCGTCCTGTGGATTAAATGGGATAAAGTAGATAAGGAATCAACACAGTGCTTACACATAGTAACATAAACTTCTGCATCACACAGCCCTCTGGGCATTAGATCTATATAAAATAAATACCCTTTGATGGTGTTGATGTTATTAGTGAGTATGGATTGTGTATAAGCGAGGCCAATTAGGTTTAAAAATATTTTGGAAATTTTCCCCCAACTTCACACTTGCACTGAGATAAGATTTTGCTGCAGACATAGGCACATCCTATTTCAAGCCTTTAGCTTGAATACTTGGTATAACACTTGCTAAATGAGCACTTGAGAGAAATGCTTGATGAAGGTTGCTCGTGTGAATCATTAGAAACTGTGTTCCCTCACTCAACACCCCAGGAAGTCTCTTTCCTGGAAAGTTCTCTTTCACCTCATTTGACTTCCCTTGCAAATACACTTGTGGGATGTTATGAAAGCAAGAAAGACACAGGGACAGGGATAATCAGATTCACCATCAGCAATGGAAGTTAAAAGTCATGTGTGTCTTGGGAAAATGTGTTTTCTAGACTAATGTTACTCACCACGTGGTCTGCAGACCAGCAGTCCATCCACTCTTGTTAACCTGTCACAAAATGAGGCACGGAGCACACACTAGGATGGAAATTCAGGCAAGGCAACCATGTCACTACAGTAATACTGCCTAGGCCAGCTGACTTTTTTATTTGTATTTATTTTTTTGGAGAGAGTTTGTCAAGGAAAGGAATAATGCATTGATTAGATTTTGGCACAAGCTGCTTGAGTAGCACTGTCCCAGGTCACACTGGGTTTGTCACACTGGGTATGCCCTCTGTGGGGTCTTGTCCTGTCTCAGACAGAATGAGGGACCCAGAGTGCTCATCTATCATAGCACTCATTGCACTGCATTGTAAAGATCTTTAAAAAATATCACAAGGTATTTATTTAGTATCTATTTTTAATTCGAAAAATAAATAGCCTCTGCTAAGCCATGAAAGTGAAGTTCTGATACCTGTTAAAACATAGATGAACCTTGAAGACCTTCTGCTAAGTGAAACAAGCCACTCACAAAAAGACAAATAGTCTATGATTGCGCTTACGGGGGTTCCTAGAACAGTCAGAATCATAGCGACAGGAAGTGGGTTAGAAGTTACCAGGGCCTGTGGGAAAAGGAAGCGGGTAGTTATTGCACAACAATTAGAGGGTTTCTGTTTGGGATGATGAAGTTTGGGGAAGAGTGGTGATGTGTGTACAACACTGTGAATGTACTTAATGCCATTGAACTGCACCCTTAAAATGGGCTAAGATGGTAAATTTTATATTGATATTATTATAATTTATCACAACAAAAAAGTAGAAAACAATAGATCATGCTGGTTGAAAAACATTCAAATAATGTAGATACATATGAGGCAAAATGTGAGTGAGAGGCCTGAGATAGGCAATCCTTCCCCGTCTCCAAAACCTCAGGACAAGATTCCCAGCAGATTTGGTAATCGCTCAAAAGGGGCATGGAGATTGGTTGAGAAGGGGCCAACTCCAGGTGATTCCTAGCTTCGGGTCAGTTGAAGACACACTGCTCTCAGAGAAAATCTACAGGAGGAGGAGTAAACACTTTCCACCACTGCTGGTAAGATCTAGTGCATTAAAGTGTTTCCTCAAATCCTGGCAATTATTGTCTAAGAATATATTGATTGAGCACACAGTTTAAAAAAGTTCACGCACCGGTGCATTCCCAGAGCCACAACACACGCGAGACACACGGCTGTGATCTCTTCTCCTTTGCAAAGTCCTTGCAGAGTCAGCGAGTTCACTCTGTTCCTTCCCCCGGTCCCCCCCTCCTTCCTTCACTCCGTCTCCCGGCATTCCCCACTCCTGTCCCTGTTTGTTTAAATACCGGCCTCGGAAGTATTGGCCCCGTTCAGAATCAGCCTCAGCGCCATGTTTCTTCTGACTTCAGTCTTGGTAGCAGTTGTCTTCCTTTTGATGGTGTGGATCTTTCAAAATGCTGATGGAGGCACCCAGAGGAGGAAGGGGGAGCCTAGAGCCAGGGCGGAGGCTCGCCCCTGGGTGGATGAAGACTTGAAAGACAGCACTGACGTCCACCAGTTGGAAGAAGGTAAAGACACTGGCCATGTTGCTTGGTTTCCAACTTCTGTATTTTTATGATGAGGGCAAGTGGATGGTGGGGCTTATGGAGAGGAAGAAACAGGCAGGTCAGTTTCATCATCAGCCTCTGTCATGCAAACAAATCAGTGTGTGACAGAGACATCATTTCCCTCTGGTGGTCAGCTTGTCACCTGCTGGCACCAAGCTCCCTTTATTCCTGGGTCCTCAGTAAAAGGCTGTTGAGGGGGTGACGTTTTCCCTGGCTCCAGTCCTCTGAGGCTGCTAAAATCTTTCTGGAGGAGCACATCACAGGCTGGGGGCGCTGCAGGTTAAGTGGTCAGGTTTTGATCAAGAACTTTGGAATAAAAAAGGGGCATCTACCTAGGGGCTCGCTACCCTTCATTGCACCAGCCCTGTGGGTCACAGACAAGAGTGGCTGCTGTCCTCCAATCTGAGTGTCCAATTCAGTAGACAAGGCAATAAACAGGCAAACGATAGAGAGTAAAACAGAGACGAAGTGGGTGGAACTGATTGTAAGGTGTTTTGAGAAGGCTTGGGGGTTTGGTGGGGCAGCTAGAAAAAGGCTGAACCAGGTCTGGGGGATTACTAGGATATGAATACAAAGGTTAGGAGGCTAAGAGGAACAGAAAGCGCCTGAGTCCGGAACCCCAGGGAAAGACGTCAAGAAGATGGAAGGACTGTACTGACCAGGGGAGGGGTGAAAATGAAGTGGGGTGTTGAGGGCGGGCCGAGGCATGGCTGACCTGAGAAAGAAGGGGTGCTGAGGGTGGCAGGCAGGAAGGGAGACGCTCTGGAGGAGCTTTGAGTAATCAGTGTTTGAGGTTTATCTGAGGTGGTTTTGTGGGATGGATTCGACTTGGAAGAGGCTCAGTGACTCTCAGCTGGGGTAGTAATGCCTCCACCCTCCCTCCCTCCAACAGAGGCCACCTAGAAGTGTGTGTGTGTGTGTGTGTGTGTGTGTGTGTGTGTGTTTTCTAAGTTGTCCTAACCTCAGGATTGGGGGGTGGGGTATAGAGTTGGCACTCAGTGCTGGGAGCCAGAAGTGCTGAACGTACTGCCCAGGAGGATCCAAATCCAGGCAGCCTCCTGGCAGGGCAGCCTCTTACTCTCCCCCACTAACCCCGAATGCCAATTATGCCAGTTGAGAAGCACTTCCGTGAGCACGAGACCCACTGTGAAAGTGAGTAAGAATCTGTTCCAGTAATGACGGGCTGGGCGGTGGTGCCAGTGCGATGCAGAGGAAGGGGTGAACTAGAGGGACGGTCAAGGAAGAATGGTAGGGTCTAGTAATAAATTAGACATGAACAGAGGAAGAAGTGGGCACGATTTGGAGACTGGAGGAATCAGAAAAACAACTGTCATCAATGGGTGCGGGAAGGGGATCCGGTTTAAAGGGGAAGCTGTTGAATGTAGTGCAGGACGTGTTAGATTTGAGAGGCTAGTGACCCATTGAAGAAGAAAGGCAGGGAGGTTTCTAGGTGAGGGATCCAGGCCATAGACACTGACTGGAGAGTCAGCAGCATAGGGGTGATGCTTGGAACTTGGAAAACTAATGAATTCACTGGGGGGTATTGCTAGAGAGAAGGCTGAGGTTAGAACTTGGTGGGGGGCACCTTCAGATAAGAGGAACTGCCAGAAGGAATGGACTCAGAAAAGAAGGCATGGGAAAGGAGGGCCAGGGTAGTAATAACAAGCCCTCACATAGCGCTGGTATCCAATGTCACTTTTACATATGGTGAATCATTTAGTCTTCATAACAATACAGTGAGGCAGGCACTATTATCGTATCCGTATTGCAGATAAGGAAACTGAGGCTCAAATCGGCTAAGTCACCTGCCCAAGCAATTAGTGGTAGAGTCAGGACCCAGGCAGGCTGGCTCCAGAGTCCAGGCCTACAGGCAATTCGCTAGGCTGCTTTTCCAAAAGAATGACCCAGAACAGAGGGGGCAGGAGATGGCCAGCAGGGTTAAACATTCCCTGAGAGATCAGAGGTAGTGTGTATGGAGGAAAGGCCACTGGATTTGAAGACCCAAGAGTTTGAGGGATACAGAGGGGTTGATAAGGCTGGTGGGGAACCAGGGACCTGGGGCTGGGCCTGAAGGTTGGGAACAGAGAACAAAGCTGTATGGCCCCGTTCTGCTTCTCCACCTAATGATTCACTTTTAATCCTCTGCCTCTCCACTCTCTCTTCCTCACACAGAGAAATGAATTGAACACATAGTGGCTGCTTGGCAGCCATGAGCAAATCTTTCCTGAGTGCAGAGTTCACAGTCTCTTGTTGGGATTTTTGTTGTTTACATAAGTGATACTTACTGAGGTCACACAGGCACACAGGTGGTAGGTAAGGATTAATGTTTAAGCTCAGTCTCCTCTGCCATCCAAGTCCCTGCTCTTAACCATTAGGTGGCTGGACGCAGTCTAAGAGAGGTATAATTGGATAAGAGAAGGGATTCCATTACCAAGGAAACATGAGATGGTTTTGATAACAGCAAATAGATACCAGATTCAAACCATTTTGAAAATTAACAATCAGGGACAAAACAGTAAAATAAGTATTGTGGGCCATTCTTAGTGTGAGTTAAGGAATATATGGGTACCAATCTAGCCTCCGCCATCTCTGATTCACAAAGAATTCCTATTCGACATTCATAGATCAAGGAATCAGCCTGTGTGGGGGGACGGGGGGGAATGGTCGGGGGTACAGAGAAGACATGTGGATTAGAAGTCAGACACAGACTTCCTCTGGGGATCAGTCACACATGGCATCCTGTTAACGCATTTCAGTCCTCTGTTTATCTGTAGCAGAGGTCTGAGGAGGCGAAATGACTGGTATTTAATCTTAAAGTGGAAACCTCAGATCGTTTCCCTAAAATGAATGGGAAATACTGAAAAAAATTCTCTAGTCAGGGCCAGATTCATGAAAGCTCATGAAACTGGAAATAGGAGGAAAAGATACAGGAAACACATCTTATTAAGATGTGTCCATTTTAATGTTAGTGGGGATTTTCTTCATTCAGCTTCACTAGCCATCCAGAAGCTATTATTCTAACTGAAATTTTGATTGTCCCAGTGACCACTAAAAAAGCCTTTGTTAAAATTTTTATCTGGTGTGGGCAACACCTGAGAATAAAAATGTTCCCTCGGACTTGGGCAAGGACAGATTTTTATATACCCATAGGCAGCTGTTTCGAACCTGTTCATTGGATCAATGACAACACATCTCAGTAAAAGCTTAACAAGTCAACCAATCAGAGATGGATTCAGTCCAGGACCAGCCCCTCTGAAGGCCAACCAGTCAACAACAGTCTCAACCACGTAACACTGTTCCTGCAGATGATATCAACCCTCTTACATGCCTGGAAGTCCACCGATGCCTGAACTCCATGCTTCCCAACCAAGTGGTGTGCAAGAGCTAGCCTATGGGGCTAGTGAGAGCCAACTGATAAATGTTCAGGAAATTTGTGGGCCATTTGTTCAATTGCCAATAGCTTGAGATCGGGCCATCATGGGAGTGCTTACTCTATGGAAATTGGCAAGTGCTATAAACCAGGGCTCTTTTTTCTCTCTTCTCAGACTGCTGGTTTACCAGCACACCACCGACAAAAACACTATGTAAGGGCAGCACTCATGACCAGCACAGTTTTCCTTTGCCCCAGGAAGCAAAAAATTCAGCTTCATCTTTGCATCTCATCATTCTTTGGCACACCTACGGGTACATACTTCTGCATGGCTAATTTTAAAAGGCTGGTCTACCAGGGCTCCTGTAAGACATTATGGTTCTAGGACAAAGGACAGGTAAATTCAAATTCAGATGAGAGAAAGTTAGGGAAAGGAAAGGACTTGAATGGAGATGTTGTCCTTGGGATCAAGTCTGGGTGGGTTCTGCTGGGGAGAGTGAAGCTCAGTACAGAACACTGGGGACACCGGGGACACCACGAGAGGTAAAGGGGCTCAGAAAACAAGTTCTGTCAACTTCACCTGGGATAGCGTTGCTTTCTTCAAGGCCTTTCCATCTGGACATCCGCAGACTCCCCAGCCCCCAGCCCCCGCTGCTGCTGCTAGTGAGGTAATGAGTCTATATTGCAGTCAGGGAGTTGAATGGCTGAGAGGCCCACGTAGGAAGCAGAGCGATGGCCGAGACAGTGGGAAGGAGGAGTTCTCTGGGCCGGTGTTGAGCCTTGAAGCTGCTCTCATTGCCACCTTCAGAATCTGTCTACTGTGAGAGCCGTGTCACCCTGAGCCTTATTAATACTGGTGCTCAAGCCTCCCCAAAAATTGCAGGGAGGGAACAAGGGTGACATGACACAAATTAGCCTTGTAGTTTCATAGCTGGAAAACATTTGGCCCATTTGCAAAGATTTTGAGGTAGAACTGCAAAAACACAAAAGCAATTCCCGTAGAGATGCAGCCAGAAAAATGCCTCTAAGTTAAACATTAAAGGATAGCCGTGGCCTAGAATTACTTGGTCATTAAACCTAATTATGGAGCGATTTAGGATTCCTTGGCATTAAAGCAATGATAAAAGGCGTGTTGGTCTTGGTGTCAATAGCAAACCCCATGTGTGGCAGCACAGGACTTACATTAAAAGCAGACCACAGTAGCGTGCGTTTATTTTAGGGTATGTGGGCTCCACCGCTTGAATGAATCCCCCAGAGTTGCTTGGCTGGTCTGGGGTGGAGGCGGGACAGCTGCGGAACAGAGGCTGCTCTCTTTCCTCCGGTGAGGGCTTATGCCTTGGGGGCAGTCAGGAGTTCAAGAGAAAGGAGAGAGCTGTGCCTTTTTTATGGTTCACTGCCCTGAGATCCCCTGGAGCTTAATTCCCAGCTGGCTCAGCCTGTCCCCTTTCCCCAGGCCAAGTGTAGACTTTCTGCCCTGGGAGAGGCTCCGGGAAGAGCAGCGCCCCTGTGCTCTGCTTGGATAGCCCTTCTGGACAATCCAGCCCAGTGGTGGTTGGGCTCATTTGTCTGCTGTGCTCAGAGATAAAGGCTG